TTGGCCGGCGCCAATGAACCAACCAATCAGAGCACCGAACGCGTACTCGTTACGATTACTTTAAACGTAAAACAAACTCATACTAAGGCCTCAGAGCACAGAACGCCGTCTCGTTTCGGTTACTGTAAACGAAAAAGAAACTCGTACTAAGGCCTCAGTCATCAGGCTAAGTCCGGGGGCAAAAGAAAGACATCTTCTTATCTATAAGAAACATCTATGTATTTTGTTAGTTAACTTGGCAAAGATAACAGTTAACTATTTGTATTTCCAGATAATGCCATGCACATCTTCACACACCACCATCAGACTGTCACGGAAGGGTATGAAGAGAGTCAGCCAACATGGTTACGGTGATCACTATGTGCATATCAAAATACAAGTTAGTAAATAATAAAGCCAAGGATTCACTAGCGGACAAATCCCCTGCGATACGTGTCGTCAGCGACGTTGGGTTAAGTAGCGCGACGTTGCCGGACTTTGGTCGACATGCCTGGCAATATCAACGTCGCAGTGGACATAAGTTGCGCGTTGTCCACGGATATACCTGGTGTCATCGGCCGGCTTCGCTCGACATGTCGGCGATACATGTCTTGGGACATTTGTCCTTAGTGTATCCTAGTGTTTAAGGACACATTTTTAACTGGAAATTCTTCTTTGGCAAATGAATATTGCATAATAAAGATCTCGATTTTCGCCTTTCGTGAAGTCAGCTTAAACTATATCGCATTTTTAAACCTGAAGTGAACAATAATTACTTCAAAATTATTTGTACTATTCTGAAAGTTGATGTAAAAATAAAATATGGATATGGTATATGATGATATGGTTAACTAGTATTTGACGGCATTTTTGTCTTCAGGTACCAAAATCGTTGTCGAGCAAACAGAAGGCGCTTATGTACGCGTACGCCGAGCTAGAAGAGGATACTCCCGGACAAATACACGGCGTCTCCCTCGACAGAGATGGTAAGAAATAACTGAGAAGCTTAATTATAAGTGAAACTACGAGAAATACTTAATTATAAGCGTAGAGATATGTATAGAAAACTGCTCTTTATTCATGTTAAGATTGTACGAAAGCCAGTAGGAAATGGGCTTATTTACTTTCATAAATGTTTACACAAATATGTGCCATAATTCATCCGCTATAAAGCTCCAAATTCGGTAGAAGATGAAACTAGAAATGTATAGAAAAAAATACCAACTTTATTTTACAGAAAAGGCAAAAACTAGCAGTGATACAGGGGCCGGTAAATCGAAAAGTTCGGGAACGTTTACGGGGGGTGAACACATTCACCAAGCGAATCGCGATACCGACGATCATGAGCGAAATAATTCGAAAACGTGGACGTTCCTAGAGAGTTTAGGGGATGCCTATAAGAGTAACAAAATGTATTTCGTGAGTGGTTTCGTAATGGCGGTGATTGTCAGTATGTATGTGATGATGCATGATCCCTTGGACCGGTTTGGTGCTAATAAGTACGTGACCACTTTAGACAACTTGCCGGCTAGGGATATCGATACGAATTATGGATATCAGAGAGCGATTAAACGTGAAAGGGAACAACATCCTGAACTTTATCAGGATTTGGAGGAGGCATAATGTGTGATGAATTTGAATGTGATATCTGGATGGATAGATACTTCTTTTGCCTATGATTGGCTATGCAATGTTCTGCTAGCTAATCACATTTGTTGATTCAAAACGATATACGAGAATAATAGATCCTTTACAGTAACTGCAAGTTAGTTCGAAATATCACTAATGAACTCTTTAGAAAAGCTCTTAAGTATCTTCCTTTGCGAGCTACACTTAATATTAAACCTTATAACACAGTACTTACAGTCATTTTGCAAAGCTATTTTAAAGAAAGTCCAATATAAATTGAGCTATGAATTTGTTTTAATATATTTATACATTGTTCTAATGTGATAAGCATACCAATGTAGACATTAATTAAATATGTTCACAAAATAATATATTTAATGTATATCTACATAATTGTATATGTATTTATTGGAGAGATTTTTATGAAAGAGTTGTGCATGGTTCGAAAGGGCTTAGTCGTAATGGTTATAGTATGATGGTCATACATTAGTTTCAATTATTGTAAATATTTATAGTCTGTTTCATGAATACACGGAAATTTCAAATAATATGTTGTTTCATTTCGAACCTTTGACCCTTTACCATCATACTATAATCAAAATTCTTAAACATAGGCAGTATGAGAAATTACCAGGCCCAACTATGAGAGAATTTAAAATTGTCTAAGTGCTTGAACGGTATGAGGACTGCACTAGTTTCTTTATCTATATCTTCGACATACTTAAAAAGCCTGGCATTTTTGTAGTCTAAAGTAGATTCATCTTTGGAATCATATACAAAAATCAAAGAGCCTTTTCTTCACACTTATTGAGCTATGGAGATGCAAGTCTTTGAAATAATAATGTAGCTAAAAACCAAGGCATAGAGTTAGATAGAATACTACAAAGTTTAAATATTAATTAGAATTTAGAAACCTTGAGAAAACAAACAGCTGTGTGGCAGTGAGATGACCAGTGGTGATGTTATAACCCAATTTCTATCACCCCGGTTTCTTGCGATCATCATAAGAAGCATCAGGCAGCAGTACCTTCTGATAAACCTTACACCATTTAACTGTGATCCCTGGGCTGCTTTAACTAGGAGATCATGGGAACTCTCTTATTAGTCCGATAAGGAAGGAGATAAATATGGGGGTCATCTGGAAAGTTTTCCGGCAGATTTGAGTCGGCATAAATTGTAGAAAATTGTGTGTAGTTTAATTTCCTAGTTACCGGTTTTATCGTAAAATGCACAGAAAAAGAGATATTTAAAAAAAAAATAAGATTTTACCGCCATTTTTCTAAGAAGGCGGCGCCAGCGCCGTACGTACGAACGTGCAAACTGGAAATCAAAAAGAGCACATTAAAATCTACAAAATTGTCGATTTTCAAAACTCCCGGAAAACATTCCAGGTAGAACTACTAAATTACTGAACTATATGTAGAAGAGGCTCAGTCCAGTTGTTTGTCATCCAACATTGGATGAATTACTGCAGACGTTAATTATTTTCCAGGAGCTATACGAGAGAAAGAGAAATAACGAATAAACAAAACTATTACTTCTTGTAGGTAATATCATACAAATGATAATTGTATATAGGTACAGTAATGTCATTAGTTTGAGTTTGTATTTATAATTTTTGTGAGACATAATAAATTAATTACTTTGTTTTTTTGTCTTACTCACGTAATTGACGAGGAACTAGACTAGTTTCAAGTTATTCTAGAGGCCTATATATTTATGAGCAGCTTCCGACGCGGCGATTGTCGCGCTGCTACTCTTTAGTATTTTACTAGTTCCTCGAGTATTTTTAGTTCTAGGAAATTAGTTAAGTTACTCGTCTAAGGCTCTAGACAGACAGACCGCATTCACGACTGCAATTGAACTGCAAACCAAACGTGCAGTCCGATTGCAGTTGTGTCAACTGCGTTGAGATTGCATCCGAACTGCAATTTGCAGTTGGATTGCAGTTCTAATGCGGTTCGTCTGTTTAGAGCCTAACAGTTACGTGAATAAGCCGAAATATAATATAACAAGTCATTAATTTGTTGAGCTTGTGGTTGTTCCCTTATTTAATTAATCGATAATCCTAGTTAGTTAATGTCAGTATGAAGTTATTGTTATAAATAAAGCTTGAAATATAAAAGTTCGTTATACAAAACGAATAACATTCTAGATTTTCAAAGCAGGATTTATTGTGTTGTGTTTCTGTATTATAAAAAATGTGTATTGTTTTGGTTTATTATTGTTATTTAATCCTTGTTTATCGTAGATGTAGGCTGTTGTCAATCGAATCCTAATATTTGACGAAAGGTCCCACTAAACGCTTGACATGTCTTAATAATCAATTTTCCAAAAACCCATTTTACGATCATATAAATACAATTCATTTTTGTATGTTTTCCAATTTCATCCCTATGATATCCGAAATGTAACTTTATCGCCATAACTTAAGGTATATTTTTACACAATTTCCAGGTAAAAAAGTGTCGATATCCGAACCTCTTGACATGGTGGATGCTGTGAAAGAAGCTCTTAAGGAAAAGAAATCTATTGAAGGTGCTCCTACTGAGGAAGAAGTGGTTGAGGAATCTAAGAGAAGCAAGGCGTAGATAGCTGTGCCTATTTAGTACTATATTTGTGCCGATTTGATGGTGAAAGCATAATTATGTAGTTTGTTTTGGTCTTTATCTATGAAATTGACGGTTTTTACCCTTTATATAATTACTATCGTGATATAAAAATTGAAGTTTACTCACGTGAGTATACTGAGAAAAACTTAGGTTCGAGTCACGGAGGGGCTCTTCCTCGTGAGCAGTGTGCGCGGTTGCCGCGATGTCGCGCAGCTTACTGATTTTTCGTTAGTGTAATATTTATGGAAAATTGTCCATTATGCAGCTTAAGTAAATGTTGATACTCAAATTTGAGTATCAAGTGGCGTCCTTTTGACTGCCGACGGAAAACAATTGAAGGCCAATCATACGCAAGCGCTGGTCGCCTTTGCTCCCTTTGGGATTAACACTTTTGAAATTAAAGAAGTTGCAGCTTTACGAATAAAATGAAAAAAAAAAATACTGTCAAAATGTTTTTTTAATCTGTCACGTGTTGGGACTGGGACTCCTTTTAGTCTCTATTTTTTTTTATACCACGACGGTGGCAGTCAATCATACGGCCCACCTCATTGTAAGTGGTTACTACAGTTTGCTACAGTTCTTAAAGGATAATAATTATGTTCTAGATGGATGATACGAAGGTCGCTACGTTTTCAATAAACATACTTAGCAAATAACTATCCTATCACCATCAAAGGCGGTAAAACCTCATAGCAAAATGTTCCAAAAGTTAGATAATAAAATTTCCCGCTTCTCTGTCAGAGTTTATTCTATATTTGTTTATGTATTTGAATTAAAATTACCAAATGTAAGTACTCAACACACATTTGTATGATTTACTTTCTCTACTGTGATACAATGTTGAATGGAAACATTTCGCGCTACTGTTAAAATAAATAAAAATATTTCAATGTCTGAAAATTCACGTTTTAATGGATATTTTACAACGTAATGTAATCAAAGAAGCTGTACATAGCCGTTGACTAGTGTGTAGGAAATGGTAGGTAAATAAAATATAACAAATTATTTATTGTGTTGTTTTATTTTCATAGATAGATAGACAAACGCTGACTGCGATAATAGAACTTCACAGTGACATGACATTACAAGAAAAAACCTTTTTGTGCTTACCAAATGGTGCTGATGGCGCGTTAGGTCTTGTATCTTCATTTACTACAGTTCATTGGTGATAATTTGGGTTTAGCAAATAGTATCATTGGTAATTTTTTTTCATTTCATTTATTTATTCATTTAACAATTTACATTGTGTCTGAATTTATTATAGGTACAAAAAAAAGAGACAAGCAAATTCACATTACGAAAAACACAACCACATAAACAAAAATAAAACAATTTTAAAATAAAAAAATTCAGCACACCTAACGCGACACTAGCGCCAACGGTATATAACCACAACTGGAAAACCTCTGGTGTTGCTGGTGTACATAGGCTACGCTCAGTGGTGTAACTCGCCGTTCGGGGTAGGTAAATTCATTGGATGAACCCAATAATATAAAAAAATAGTTCAGATGAGTTCTCTGAACTGGGGCTGACATTTTGCCTACTTGCCACCCTGTAGCTACGACACTGGGTACGCTGACAGTTCATCATCAGACGGTCCTCAATCTTTGTTAGTACAGTTTGTTAAATTAAAAATACCTACGTACTTATTTATCTACCTCCTTTATTTACTTTCAAAGAGCCTGTACTTCTCAGTCATGCAAGTCAATGCGGCGCCGCTGTGACAGCGTAACATTGCCAGCCCGCAAGAGAGCAGCAACATCGCTCCTTCCACGTAGCACCCGTATAGAATACGGACGTGACCGTTTACCTGTTCAGACATTGTTTATAGGATTAGGTAGATATTAATTGAATTTTGATTTTGGATTAAGTGTTATTGTACTTAAGTACGACTACTGCCTCGTTGGCCGAGTGTTCGCAAGTGTGATTACGGGGCAAGGGGTCTCGGGTTCGATTCCCGGGCAAAGTATTAGTTATTTTATTTATTG